CGTCTGTACTCCTTGTTGTTTCATACCTCACTCATTTCCCACCTTTCTGTCTGGAATGTGTGTGCGTGTGTGTGTGTGTGTGTGTGTGTGTGTGTGTGCGCGTGCACGTGTGTTTGTTGCTGAGAGGAGAATTTAGTGTGGTTTCACATATAAATGTGAGCTACAGTATGTCTATAGCCCACAGTGTGTATCTCTGTACATGTGTGTAATCACGTCGTATCTTCCTCGTCCCATGGTGTTTAAGCTCGTTGAAGGGTGTGTGTGTGTGTGTGTGTGTGTGTGTGCGTGTGTGTGTGTGTGTGTGTAGCTAAATAGGATTTCCTCAGAGTATGAAATCTGAAGGTGAGCTCATCCAGGTGGAACATTGACTCCTAAGCAGTGTGGAAAAAAAATACAAAAATATATACTGAGGAAGACTAGCTTTCATGTTCTACATCTCAAACACGCACACGCACACACACACACACACACACACACACACACACACACGAACAAGCATATAGATTTCCTACTGAAAATACCTCCTCTTTGGTTCTTTAAGGCGAGAAATGAATTTGGCTTTATTTCCATTCATTTGCTTCCTTGTCTCAGCAGTTGTTTTTTATTTATTTTATCTTTTTTACCACACATTATATATTTTAATTTCACTACTATTGTGCATTTAAATCTCTGTAAATGCTTTTTGAAGTTTAAAACAAATCTTATTCTTCCTTCCCTTGATTTTTATTTATTGCAAAACAGTTGGCTGCCTTGCACGCACAGCAACTAATTACACAAAATGAATGGTTTCCCGAAGCATGGAGCTCTGAAATGGGACAAATATTTCAGATGTGAGAAAAAGACTAATTATTGGACTCTCTCTTTTTTGTGTTCTTTGCAAAATGTTTGTAAAACAGGAAACATTTTCTTGTCTTCTACCAACAGTAACAGCAATCACATGTAATACATGCATGTTGCATTGCATTATATGACAACCATATCCCACTAGACAAGTAGTAGTCAAGGCACAGTAGCTAAGGTGTGCTGATCTGAGGAACAATTATGATAATTGGTGTCCTTTTTGGAGAGTAGATGCATGTCAACACTGGAAAATAGGACAATTGCATATTTAGACATGCTGATGTGTGGGCTCCATAGATGTGTAATAATACCTAGATACTGAATCCCAAGATGGTGCCACTTCATCCCAATGGAGTTGCTTGGCTGGCGCCTGTGTCAAAAAAAAGTTTCTGGCTTCCAGGTTTACTTCCACCATATGCATCTTTCTGAATATACCCAGTAGCGTTTCTCCTGTTGGTCCCATCCACAAGTTCCTGCACAGCTCATAGACGTATTATTGTGATGATGTCACAGATGTTTTTCTTGGCCGCAGGAAAGTTTTACAAATATAAACCATCTTTTATAATGGTGGTCTATGGGGAAAATGCTTTTTGGGCTGCAGGGGATTTGTTTGCTGCAATAATGCAACTGGCCACTGGAAAAAACTGGCTGCAAGGCTGACCAGCGTTCCTAGGGGACTGGCGGGGTCACATTAAAAAACGATAGGCATGGGTGATTTGACAGGCAGCATATACCAGAGATGTGTGTCGCCCCTAAGTCGTCTGACCCAAATCATTCACAAGCATAAGAAAACTTTTTTCTGACAATCAACTAACCAGAAAACTCAAATCTGGTGCAAAAAATGCACAAATCATACATCAAACTATGCCTTATGACTTGTACATTATTCTCACAATATCACTTCAAATATAGTTCTGTAAGGGCAAACATTCAGGTCATCAAAAGCAATAACATGGCCTACAAATGATACATATTTTTGGAAGTGTCAACCATATTCAACTTTGATTTTCAATACAGAATTCATGTGTCAAAATATCCCTTACATGTACTTCATCCTCTTACTGTCATGTATTTGAACATAATAATGGACAAGTGTGAAAGTCCCCAGTTTATGCTCCATATGGTCCATAGGATGTAAAATGGAAGAACCCCTAGTTACTTCAACAATTAGTTTAAGAACTTAGAAGAATTCCATGATTACAATGCTAGAGCTAGAGGTAGATATCAGAGCTTTTATGGATTCAAAACTATGATATATATTTATTTTATATTTGCTGCTGCTACAGAGAGGAACAAACTACCTCTTGAAATGAAGGAGATGCAGAACCGACAGTGCAAGCCTTTATGAAAATGGCCAAACAAGCTGCTAGAAAGCATCTCCAAATAAGATCATGGTCGTTTTGTAGCTGGCAAACAGATTTCTCAAAATGTCTGTATATCTGTGAATGGGCTGTTGTGTTAGGATGTGGCACTTGGTGATCAAAGCATTTTTTCACTTTGGCTATTGAACAGCTGTCTCCATTTTGTTATGTAGTGGAAGGTCTGATAGAACATCAGGAACCACAATGGAAATAAGTCTGGGGCTGTTTGCACAAAACACCTTAAGTTTGTTCCTTATGTATGACATTTAAGGTTTATATGAAATACCTTGCCAAGAACTCACTGGAAAGATCCATAACTGTAAAGGTACTGGAGGAGCACAGCTATTGAAAGTTGATTTGTCCAACTCCAGATGTTCACAATCATAAATTGATATCTGGTACCTTGAACCAAAATCATTTGCCCATACTTAAGTGTGTCCATCAGGTTCTCCTGGTCATGGAACACACTTTTTGGGAATACTTTTTTTTCTCATTGAGCTCCATAAACCAGCAATGTTGCAGTTAACATAGAGTCAAAGGGACCTTATGTTTTTTGGGTTACCAAGGTCCAATAGTTTAACAAACTTTAAGCATTTCCTTAAGTACAAGACCAAATTAATGAGAAAAATGTTAATCGTTAAGTAAACATTTTAAGGAAACCTTAAAGGGATAGTGCACCCAAAAATGAAAATTCAGCCATTATTTACTCACCCTCATGCTGAGGAATGCTCTGGTGAAGTTTTAGAGTCCTCACATCCCTTGCGGAGATTGGCAGGGGGAGCGGCTAGCACACCTAATGGCTGACGGCGCCCCAGTTTAACGTCCAAGAACACAAAATTGAAACCACAAAATATCTCCAACATGCTCATCCATAGCGATCCATGTGTCCTGAAGCCCCGACATAAAAAGTTGTTTCGAAAAACGTCATATGAACTCTGATTTAGCCTCACTGTAGCCTGTAGCTCTGACTGCTTCAATGTGCTCCGCGCCCACCTGTGCGTGCTTGCGCAAGACCTGCGAAAGCATGAGCTTTGCTTACCCGTGTTTACATCATGTGACACGTGCACCGCAGGGAGTGACAACAGTAACCACAGTAGCTAAAAGATAACTTGCACTACGGTCTTTTAGCAAAGCACAGCCCAACATGTCTGAAGACTTTGAAATTGAGGAGGAACAGCATTTCTTTGTAGAGCCATATTTGTTTGAGCCCGAGTATACGGACGTGGAACTCAGGCTACCCATGAGCCTAACCCTCAGCCAGACGCAGAATACCGGAGTCGAGCACTGGAAACCTGGTCGTGTAGTTGTTTCAAATGTAAAGCAATGCCAACGGATGAGGAAAGTCTTTGCTGCTCAGACTGGGAATTGGTGATGCCTGCACTTGAGAATCTGGACATCAGTACTGAGGAGACTGCTGCTCTTCAGAGACCGTGCATCACCGATCACCCTGAGCGCACGCACGTGAGCACAGAGCACAGAGAAACAGTCAGAGCTACAGGCTACAGTGAGACTAAAAACAGAGTTCATATGACGTTTTTTGAAACAGCTTTTTATGTCGGGGCTTCAGGACACTTGGATCACTACGGATGAGCATGTTGGAGATAATTTGTGGTTTCAATTTTGCGTTCTTGGACGTTAGTCTGGGGCGCCTTGCCGCTCCCCCCGCCGATCTCCGCAAGGGATGTGAGGACTCTAAAACTTCACCAGGGCCTCCGTCAGCATGAGGGTGAGTAGATAATGGCTGAATTTTCATTTTTGGGTGCACTATCCCTTTAAGGAGAAGACTTAAGGATGTTTTGTGTAAATGATTTTATCTCAAGGAAACCTTATCTTGGACATTGAGGAAAATCTTAACTTAGGGTGCTTTGTGCAACTGGGCCCTTTATCGTGCTATCCCTGACAATGTCATATATGCCTGTATGTTTTCCTGCTCTAGTTGAATTCTTGTCAAATAAGTTTAACTCAACTATGAACAATTACTTTTTTTCTTTCTTCAATGCTGTCTTTAAAATCCCTACAGTCTACAATATTTGCTTGTGCCAGCTATTGTATGGTTAAGGGCGGGGTTAAGGATATAGTTAGGGGAAAATCTGGTCTCCTGCATTAAAGTCGAGCATGTTACACACCCATCCAACACCTTGACCTTCACAATATGACTTCATGCTTTACTACATAACTCCCACACTACCTCTTACACTGGCACTGAGTGGTGGCATTTAAAAACCTGTCGCAATATCCACTTTTATTCTGAACGCCTGTAGTTTTTACTGTAAGTCTTATTACTGCTGGCAGAATGCATCCAGGGCTATGGCTCTCTCCCAAAACTATCCCTACTCACTATAGCACAGAAAGTGACACTGACAGCTCTGCATTAAGGGTAGGGTATACAATTAAAATGTAGGACGGACTTTACCATAACCAGGAAACATCTGTCACCAAGCATACTGATGCACACCTTGCTTGTTAATCTGTTGAGTAATATAATCTACTGTTGTGTGCTATAAATAGACGTTATGTTCCTCTTAAATAGATTGATTGCTTCTGCATGTGGGTGTAACACAAATCAAATGGCCCTCTTGCTAATTGTTGATATTTTAATGTCTTGCAGGAGGCAAAGTGAAAATAAAAGATATTGAATGAGAAGATCATTACGTCTCTTTGTGTGAACGCTGATTGTTTCTTTGTCTCTGTCTTGCAGGGGACAGACTTTGGACCAGACCGAACTACGGCAAGTATAATCACTACACCCACTGCACTGTTACTCATGCTCCAGCTGCTGTACATGGCCGTCATCTCAAAATGATGGAAACCCTCATCACTGTCTGGCTTATCTACTTTCTGAGAAGTGGAGCTTAAAGATGTCTTTGCTGTTTCCTTCTTCGTTGCAGTGGTTGCTGGCAGGACCTTTGTGAGGAATATTTTCCATATTGTGAGGAATATTTCCCAGACTAACCTTCGCTGAGCTGTAAGAAACTGATGGCTGCTACAGTTCCACCAGATGGTTTGAACTGCCTGGATTTTAAAAAGGATCATTAGCAACCGCAACTTCTTCTGCTCCGGAGTTACCCACTCACATATGCCTGTGTGTGAATGTGATTTTAGTGTGACTGTGTGTTTGTGTTTGCATCTGCATGGCGTAAGTGAGAGATAGAAAATATAGAATTTTCACTCGGAAAGGACAAGAGAGGACGCAGCGAACAAGCTGAAAAACAGGAGTAGCAGCTATGTCCCAGTGGAGGCACCATTCAAGGACTGGGTGTCAGCTCCAGACTGCCAAGAGTGGGAGCAGGATGATGGGATATGTAAGGCTTGAAGGTTCCTTAAGCAGCGGCCGGCGGGTGTCCTCTCTAATATGGCTGGGACTGATGCTGCTGCAGGCATCTCTGGCCACCGTGATGGCTCAGAAACTTGACGAGAACGACCCTGTGGTCACCACCACGTACGGCAAGCTGCGTGGCGTTAAGAAGGAGCTCAACAACGAGATCCTGGGTCCCATTGTGCAGTTTCTAGGGGTCCCGTACGCCGCTCCACCCACCGGAGAGCGCCGCTTTCAGCCACCTGAGCCCCCGGCGTCATGGCCGGAGATCCGCAATGCCACACACTTTGCCCCGGTGTGCCCTCAGAGCATCGTGGAGGGCCGCCTGCCGGATGTGATGCTGCCGGTGTGGTTCACTAACAGCATCGACGTGGTGTCCACATATGTCCAGGACCAGAGCGAGGACTGTCTCTATATTAACATCTATGTCCCCACTGAGGATGGTGAGTTAGCCTGCGGGCCCAGGGCAGGATGACTGTGGGGATAGCGGGTGGTGGGGCGGAGGGTATAGACCCCACAACATTCTGGTAGAGAGAAGGATGTGTTGTCGGGGTGTGTTTTATCTATGTGAGAGTGCATTTCTGTCTCTGTCCTCGTCTGTCTGTCAGTAGAGGGAAAGCATGATTTTGTGCATGTTTAAATGTGCATGACACTGCTTACAGTACATGAGTGTGTGAGAGTTTTGTGAAACAGTGTTCATGCGTGTGTGTGTGTGGCATCCATTGAGGCCGATTAATCCTCCTTTTATCTCGCTCCACAGCTGCCCCAATTTTTTTCCTTCCATTTTCCAACCTTTCCTCCTCTTCCACCATCCTGTTGCTCCTCTTACTCCTTCTACTCCGCTCCTCTTTCTCCGTATTGCCTTATTTGCCCTCCTCTGCGGACTCCCTCCCCTCCCTCACGTCTGTAGCTCATCATAGCCTATTGTGCTCCACCACAATGGCTACAGTTCATTAAACAAGACAGTCGTTGTCACAATCATCACCGATTGATTTGGCTGACTGGCTGAATGACTGGCCAGCCGACTGATAGACTGAATACTGCGCTGATTGAGCTGGTGTGTTTCATCTGTCTTTATTTCTCCCTTTCCTTCCTTTTTTCTTTTTCAGTCAGCCAGCTTTGTGTGTGTGTGTGTGTGTGTGTGTGTGTGTGTGTGTATATGTGTGTTTATATCAGTATTTGTGTGTGTGTGTGTGTGTGTGCGCGCATGGCGTGTGTGTGTGTGTGTGTGTGTGTGTGTGTGTGTGTGCATGCCAGCTCCTGTGTACATTGCGCGTCCAGGGGCTCCATGTTATTCTTTAGTCTTTTATTCATTTTACAGTCAAAAGAATATCCAAGGAATGTGCCAGGAAACCGGGCAAGAAAATATGTAGACAAGGAGGTATGTATGATCTGAACGCAACCTATACAATGCCACGGAAAGAAGGAGGAAAATAAAAGAAGATATATGTGGTACAACGGGGAGCAACCATGAAATCAAGGTCTACGAATTATTCAGGTCTCGACTCAGGGCATCTGCAGGGTTTCAGAATGCTAAATTTAAGAGACAGGACCTTTTAAATGCTACCTGGAAGTAAATTTAAGGCCAATTTTAAAAACCAAAGAAGGAAAACCAAGCTGTCAGAACCAGTCTTCCTCTCTCTGAAAATTCCTAATGCACTTCAGAAAGCATAAGCAAGTAAAGCAGGAAAGACCATTCCAGAATTGTCGGACTTGGTCAGGACCATTCGATCTGCAGATATTAGCAAGAACATGTTTGCTACAACAACCCTGAATCCGCCTTGTGATTTGTAGACCTTGTGCTGGCGAGACAGTGTCGCACCACACTCCCTCGTCCATTGATGTGTGCTCTCATTGGTCAGCAAGATTGGGAGATCTGATTGGCTTCCAGATCAGGGGTCAAAAGGTGTGTAGTAATGATAGTTGATGTGTGAGGAGATAGCAGCATATTAGATCAGGGACACTGTCACACACACACACACACACACACACACACACACTTAAGGTGATGTAGTTGTGTGTAGTGTTGAACAAGATGAGCTCAGGCTGGACCTTGACTGTGTAATCTCCATTAAAAGAAAGCGGAGCTGTGTTGAGGTTGGCTCGGCCTACTGTATCAAGCACTGTTTCATCAAGATAATGCCCTCCTCCTCCCCTCTGTCTTTCTCTCCCTGTCTCTCAGCCTCTCACTCCATGGGTGTGTGCACGTTTTTGTGTGTGTGTAAATGTTTGTGTGAGAGTGAAAGTGTGTGTCTGAGAGAGAGAGAGAGACAGTTGCTGACAGTGTCCTTGATAAGGTCTGGGTGTTAATGTCATTTTCTTGGCAGCGGCCTACATTATCACTTATCCTCCTCTTCTTACTACACAGATACATGTACATTCTAACCTCCCCTCTCCTTAAATGTGTTGCACACAGATACACAGAGGGGAGATGCATTTAAACTAGGAGATTACAGAAGCTTACATATTAGTCACACAGCATGGGAAATCATCATTATAAAACCAAGACCCAGACAATCTGTTGTGGATTTTTTTTTTTTTTTCTGGAAAAGGAGCTTAGGTTTAGAAAACAATGTCTCTTGTACAAATAAAAGCAAAGCAAGATGGCCGATCTGTGGCCTTGTTACAGTAGAAGCTGCTTTGCTTGGGTTTGTTTCTTTGGCTTCAGTTTATTACCCACTGGCTGTGCACTGAGAAAAAAAAGAATTAATGCTTGTGAAATGTCAGGAAACCACTCAACTCTATAGACAGTACTCTCACAGTATGCACTTCATTAGGCGAAACTCTATACAGTATGTGTGCTCTTCTATACAGTAGCCCAAAGGTAATTAAAGTGTACACAAATTGGCATAAATGTATGCAGGCCACTTTGAATATTTCTTTTACAGTAGGCAGTGTGAACAATGATATCTGTATTACCTCAAATTTAAGTGTAAACATACTTTTTGAAGACTACTGTGTTAGAAGAGAAGGTCTATGACTCATTATTGCTCATCTGTGCACAGATTAGAAGCTTGATATAATGATCGCAGACAGGTAAAACAGGACCAGATTTAGAGAAACACTTTTCTCTTGAAGAGAACTTGTTAGGGAAGTCAACTTGAGATGCACCAAACGTCCTTAAGCATCCAAACCTGCTCTAACCCAGGTGTGCTGAATGATGAATCCCACTTGATCATAAGTCACATATTAGCATAGGTAATGTTCCCTAAACACTATATACTACACTATAAGGGCAGTTGTGTTGTCGTGTGCAAAGACTCTGACACATGCTCAAGAATTGGAGAGATGCCACCAAAAAAGGCTGTAAGAGGGAGTTCAGCAGAAGTGAAATCAACATACTGTTAAACAAAGTAAATGTGATTTTAATGTATCAGTACTGGTGTTGCAGGAAAATCAAAACCCCAGCAACGACAAAACATTTTTGATGCTCTACATTGGTGGAGCAAGTATTCAGATCCTTTATTTAAGTTAAGGTGCTAATATCACACTGTAAATATACTTTGTTACTATTAAAAGTCCTGCATTAAAAATGTTACTTAAGTAAAAGTATCTAAGTACAGTTGCAAAAATGTATTTAAGTATCAAATATAAAAGTACTCATGCAGAAAAGTTTGAATAAATTTAATAAATGAAAATAATTAAAGGGTAAAGCAGCACGTCCTCATACATATACATGAGAAGCTGGAACCATGAAATGTTTTTGCATAAAAAAATGACTTTAACTTTTAAAAACATAGCTAATTAATTTTCTAATTTATTGACCAGTTCAGGGGTGGGCAACCTATGGCTCTGAAGCCACATGCTGCTCTTTAGTTTCTTGCTAGTCTCTCCCTGTAGCTTTGACACACACAAAAATTAAATGGAAATGAATAACAGTCTTTTGTTTAACATTTTAATTTTTATTCAGTATTTCTTCTATTATTTATTGCATTCTCCAATTGTAAAACTGTGAAGCCTATATACCAATATATATGTTTATATATATATATATTGAATCTTCGTAGCAGTGGCTAGTCTTGAATCTTCCTAGCTGGTTAGCTATGGATGCTAAAATCCTTAAAACTTTTAGAATAAAACCAATAGTTTAGTGGTGCATGGACAGATTTCTTTGCTTTCACTTTCAGCTCTGCAAAGTTAAAGTTCTCAATCATCGTAAATGGTGCCATGCACAGTGGCCACCTTGTGGTAAAGCACATTAATGAACACTCATTAAGATGATTAATATAGGCTAATTTAGACTTAATAGGCTACCTTCATTATAAGGCTTAAATATGTGTTGTGGCAGATTTTATTTGATCATTTTTGGTCAAAAATGGCTCTTTTGATGGTGAAGGTTGCAGACCCCTGGGCTCGTTGTTTCAGCTGCACTTGTATATTTTCATATGGTTTGTACGCAAAAATCTTAATTTGTAAAGTAACTAGTAACTAAAGTCATCAAATAACTGTTGAAGTAGAAAACATGAGATTAAAATACTCAGGTAAAATAATAGATCCTCAAATTCCTATTAAAGTACATTACTTGAGTAAATATACTTAGTTACATTCCACCTCTGGTCAGCAGAGGGATGCGCAATAACTGGAATTACAGTAATTGGGCATAATGGACTAAGTATAGTATTTCTTTAGCCCTGAAATGTAATAATCAAATTATTATAATTACTCTAAAACATAATCTAAATTCAAATTTGTCATATTTATGCATTTTTATTAATGTTCCTCAAAAATAAAAGTTGTTTTTTTCATGCATTGAATATAAGTTTCTGGACTGTGACAGAAAGTCTTTTTTCTCCTATCCTGGTTAAGAGTGCTCTCGACCATTCATAAAAAATCCTCTCACCAAAGAGAACAGCAATAAAAGAAAACACTGGTGAATCCCAGGATTCAATGGGTACCAATAAAACAAGAGTAAATTGTGGACATGAACAACATAAGATAAATTTTGTTTGTATATTGTTTCTTGCATGAGGCCCAATGAGAGCAAATGCTTACAGTGCTTCACATTCACCCGTGCACATTTTAATCAAACTGCTAAAAAGTAGGGATGCACCGAAATGAAAATTTGTGGCCAAAGCCGAAGTCAAATAATATTAAACGCTTGGCCGAATACCGAGTACCGAATACCGAATATTGTTGTTTAGTTTTTCATTAGTTTTTGCAGATGAACCCCCTCCAGATTAGTGTTGTCACGGTACCAAAATTGGATCCCACTGTACAATACCAGTGAAAATATCATGGTTCTGAGTAGTATCACGATACCACAGCAAAAATGAGGCAGATGTGCCTTTTGTCATTTATAAAAAGATAAATCACTTTTCTATAATACGTCAATGATATTTCAATGGAATAAATTACTTATTGACTTATTCATACTTCAAAAACAGCATCAATAAGTGATGAACATAGGGGGGATCAAAATAAATAAAATAAGAATCAACCAGCCACCCTCCTCCCCTGACAAGTCCCTTCATAAGTAACGAACAGTCCCTAAAGTGCGGTGAGGTTTGTGGGCCGTGAATGGCTCGTTTCTCCTCTGACACACTTCCCTTCGCCGTAAGCCGATGGCCACCGTATTTGACAGGAATACATTACTGTCTGTGTCTGTGACCCCCGTTCAACCCACAATCGGTGGGATTAGCCTTTCGTTTCTGCTGCTGGTTGAAATCTGGAGGCTGCTCGCACAGCGTGCTGAATGATTTAAGCCTACTTTGCTCGCTCAAAACTATTTTTAGTCGCAAATGCGAGTGCCGTGATGGGCGGATCGCCACACTGCCGACATTTTACTCAGCCCGTCACGGGCTTATTTTCATATAAATGAAAATAAGTGTTTGAATTTTATATATGTTAAATATTGATAGACGTTTGAGCTGACTGAAGAGAGGGGCTTAATTTTCAGTCATCCTGCTAAATGTAGCAAATCTACAAAACCTTATTTGTAGAATATAAAGCTTATGAAGCATTTCTGATGAACCACACTTTTTTATTTTGCCAATGATAAAAAAAAATAAAATAGATTTAGTCAGGTCATGGCAAACAGACTGAGTATGATTATTATTTCAGCTTTTAGTTTCATCAGTACTCTAAGGAAACTTGTGGATGAGACCTGGAGTGAGAAATAAGAGTAGATGTAATTGTTGGAAATATGATAAAATTAGATTTTATAACATTAAGAGATATTTTTTTTAAGTGGACCCATTTGGATTTTTTTTTTTTTTTTTTTTTTTTTTGCTAAATCAGAGCTGGCATTGGTCATAAGCACAGGGAAATTAATATGGGAGAGAAATGAATAATCATCGGTATAAAGTACTGGGAACACTGAGGCCGATGCTGCAGCCAGGTCATTGACGTGAATAAGAAATAGGAGAGGTCCTAGAATAGACC